ACATCCTTCTGGTGTACGGGATGGGATGTTCCAATCAACTGGGCAAATAATGGCCAGAGCGTTATTATTTTTATAATTTAAAAAATATTTTTCCCTGGCTGGTGTGGCTCAGTTGGATGAGCATCATCCTGTGAACCAGAAGGTCCCCAGTTCGATTCCTAGTCAGGGTGCATGCAGGAATCAGCCGATCAATGTTTCTCTCCCCGCCTCTCCCTTCGTCTCTCTAAAATCAATAAAAATATTCATTTTGGGAGAAAAATAAATGGAAAACTATAAACAGATTATTGTGAACCACAGTAATTCCAAACCAATGCCCGAACTGTGCTTGATCTCCAGAATAGCTTCCCCCAAAACTTAACTGCTAATAGCCTATTGACTGAAAGCCTTACCCACAACATAAACAGTCAATTAGCACATTCTTTGTATGTTATATGCATTATATACTGTATTTTTACAATAAAGAAGGCTAGAGAAGGAAATATTAAGAAAACCATAAGAAAAATACATTAGTATTTATTTAAAAATCTACATATAAGTGGACCCACACAGTTGAAAATATGTTGTTTATGGGTCAGCTGTACACACTGAATAACTCCTGGTAAAATTCCTAACAATTCATGAGAGAAATGCTGTTCAACAGGTTTTAAGCAAGAGGCTCTCGGGCTGATGCTAAGCAGAGTAGGCAAAGTATGACCATTTACAGATATCAGTTTAAAAACAGAAAAATGTTGACACTAAAAAACTAGTGATAATCTAAGTTTAGGAAGGCATTCATCGCAGAAAATTTGAGCTCCAAAGACAAAGAGGGACTCACAACTTGCATCTTACCAGAGGTTATGTTAATATTTCCTGCTTCAATTCCTGCTTTAAGTCCTTCTTTCCCCAAAATCCCAGATTCTCCTTTGGCCAGACGCTCCCTCTCCTTCTCTTCCAAACTTCCGTAGTAGATGTGTGGTTTCTTCACAACCGGCGCGACTAAGTCATCAGGTGCCTTGGTTTTGGTTGCCTGCTAAATCAAAGATCTGGGTTAATTTACGGCTTAATCTCAGCCATTTGTTAGGCTTCCCTATAGAACAAAGCTCATCTTGAGCTTCAGCTGCATTCCCCCACTAAAGGAAAGAACACGGAGGGCACTTCCGTAGACGTTCGCCTGCCAAAGGGTCTGGGGTTCGATCCCCGGTCCAGGGCCGTCCCTGGGTTGCAGGTTAGATTCTGGCCCTAGTCAGGCGCGTGAGGGAGGCAACCAGTAGATGTGTCTCTCTCACATCGATGTTTCTCTCTCTCTCTCTCTCCCCCTCCCTCCCTCCCGTACACTTTCTAAAAATGAATAGGAAAAAATGGCCCTGGATGAGTTAAAAAAAAAAAAACATTGATGTTTCTCTCTCTCTCCTTCTCTGAAACCAATAAAAATATGTGTTTTCTTTTAAAAAAGGAGTACCTAACCTTGGCTTGGAGGAAGGATCAGGGAAGGTTTAATAGAGGAGGTGTTTACCTAACTTGAGTCTTCATTTAGTCAGGGCAATGGGTCAAGAATGCAAGAGGATTGCTGAGGCAGAGGGTTCAACAAATGTAAAGGTATGGAGGTAAGGAAAGCATGCTGAGCTTGGAATCACAAACAGTTCAGTGCGGCTGTAAGAAAACTGGTTTTCTTCCCTTGTAGTTCAAACAGGCCCAGCATTGTTATATTTAATGAATCTGAGATAAAGGTTTTAAAATGATTAAAAACATGAACTATGCAAACCAAGAAAAAAATGATGATAGGGAGAGACAGGACAGTGAATAGAAAGATAAAAAGAGGACCTCATAACCACACAGCTGCCTGTCACTAAGAGACTTTGCAACTTGAAAATCACAAAAGATTATCTAAGGACCGTGCTCCTTTTCAATAATATCCAAAACCCACTTATTATGT